AACACAGGGGCTTGCGTTAATGCTTGTTTTAATTTTTCGAAAGCACTATTGGCTTCGGCCGTCCACGAGAATCTTGCCTTTTTCCTTTTTAATTTTAACAATGGCTCAGCGATAGCCGCAAAATCTTTTATAAAGGACCTATAATATGAACAAAGTCCTAGAAAAGAAGAGAGCTTCTTTGCCGTGTTTGGAGTCGGATACTTTTGTACAGCGATTATTTTTGATTCATCTGTCTCGATCCCTTTTTGCGATATTTTGTAACCTAAATATTTTAATTCAGGGGCTGCAAATTTGCATTTTTCGACATTAACTTTTAGACCGGCCTCATTTAATAAAGAAAACACCTGTCTTAAATCCTGTACATGTTGGTCGAGATTATCACTAGTAATAATGATATCGTCTAAATAGATAAATGTGGACTTTCCGAGAACAGGTCTTAACACAATGTCCATGCATCGCTGAAATGTTGCTGGGGCGCCTGAAAGGCCAAACGGCATTCGCAAAAATGCATAAGTGCCAGACTTGGTTATAAAAGCAGTCTTAGGCACGTCCTCAGGCCTGATCCCTATTTGAAAATAACCATTCGTTAAGTCTAAAGTTGTCATAAATTTGGTTGATTTTTATGTTCCTTAAAATTTCTTCTATAATCGGTAACGGATATACCGGATATTTCGTTATGGAATTTAATTTACGGTAATCAATAGCGAATCTCCACCTTTTTGGATGCTCCAAAGGATAATCATTATTTTTCTTACATAAAACCACCGGGACTAGCATAACTACTTGAGATAGGCGTTACGATCTTTTTACGTAGCATATCGGTAATATGCCATTCTATAATTTTTTCCTTATTCTTATCATACCGGTATGGTTTTTGACGAACCGGCAATGCATCTCCGGTGTCAATACTATGGTTAGTAACCTGGGTAAATCCTGGAATATCACTAAATAAGGAAGCAAATTCACTTACCACTTGTCGGATTCTATCTTGCTCGTCATTAGGCAGGTGGTCGAGATTTAACCTTGGCGGTTCAACCTTTTCTACACGCACTGGTTTCATCGTCAGCTTAAGAGACGCTTCATTAAAATCCAGTGTAGCTTGTGCGTCTGAAAGAAAGTCTATTCCTAGTATTAAGTGTGCTTGCAAATTCTTTACTATAAAAAACATCACCTTTACTTGTTCGTCCTTGATACGGATGTACAAAGGTACTTTACCTACCTACGCACTTACATTGTTCTCCTTGCGCCGCTAATACTGTTGTATTATCCGCATTATATATGCGGTATTTGCGAAAATACTTTCTAAAAAAGACTTCTGCCACACAGGAACACTGCGCGCCGGTATCCAGGAGTGCGGTGGCCGGGATATTATTTACCAAGACTTCAATCTTCGGAAGAGTTAAATTTTTCACCATTACTGTATTTAACTTGTAGGAAGAGGGGTTTTCGTGGCCTTCGGATTTCCGCACCCTCTCGTCAGCAGAAATCCGTTTTAGTTTAAATTATTTTTCCTTTCGTGCTTTCCTTCTTTCTCCACTGGCCTTGAGACTTTTTTCCTGGGTTGCTATTGAACTGTCGACGTTCGCCGGCTGTTTTTGAATGCTCGGGTTTCCTTGCCCACTGATTCGCTTTTTTTCTCCGTAGCCATGTGCTTGAGTTTGCTGTAGTCTTGGCGTACCAAATTGGTTTCGCTGTTGATATTGGCGTCTTCTTTCGACGTCCGCCGTTCTTCTCTACTTTCAAACTGGATTGCTAGCTCAAATAATTTTTCCAGTGTAGTCGGATTTCTCAATTCAATAAAGTCTTGCACTTGGGGTAGTAACCTCGGCAAAATCACTTGAATTATTTCAGGATCCGGACGGTTTCCATACAAGAGCTTGAAAACGTGAATTTTTCTTAAAATAAACCTGAGAGATGTTTTCCATTCTTTGTTGATATATACTGAAAAGTTCCTGTTTCTAATTTCGCACGATCCCTTACAACAGGGAAGGCTTTTAGTAGGGCAGTCTTGAAATTTTCGTAAGTATAGGTGGGACTTCCTGCTTGACCCAAGAGACTTCTGCCGATACATTTGAACCAGTTAAGCGCTTGGCCCCTCAAAGCGCTGGTAGCTAAGGTAACTTTTTGAAACTCGTGCACGGGGTAGAGCATGAAGTGGTCATCCAATTTTTCCAAAAAACTGGTTACCTGTGAGTTTCCATTAAACGTTGCTTCTGGTTTCATCGAAGCGCGCATGGTCTGGACAATGTACCCAAATCCTTCCAGGGCGGCAGCTGGCATTTCTGGATTCTGAGCCTGTTTCTGCAGGCAGCACAGGTTCTTCTTGAAACTCGGCCATGGTTATTCTTCGTCGGGCGCCACTATCAGGTTCAATGTTTCTTCTAACCTTCTTCGGAAACATACAATGACCTGACTAGAACAGAGAGCTTACTAAAGCTATGTTCACTAATTGTAGTAAGTAGACAGGATACAGACGAAGGGTATACAAAACCCTTTATTTTTTCTTTATATACAATGACTTCCGTACTTCGGAATACAATGACCCTCCACTCGGGGTCTAACTTAAAAGATATCAAAATAAAACTAAACTCTAATTTAACTTTAGAATAAGATTGGCCTTATAATAACAGAAAGCGTATGTAGCACAGAGACTGTGAACACTACAATACGTTTAATTTATCAAGAGGATTAAAACCTCTGGCCTGGAAGGCAAAGTAGCAACTGCGTAACTTCTAAGGTAAGCGGCCTGCTTCGAACTCACGGCTTCCTCTCTTCTGCTTGGCAAAAAGGCCACACTTAAATACTTGGCGTTCGCCAGACAACTTTGCATAAACTCCTTCACGCTTATAATTCTGGCCGGAAGTAGAAAATAAGAAGTGATAGTAAAGATTTAAAATAAAATAAACGTTAGTAAAACTTAAGATCCTTACAAGACATGGAAGTCTGTGTGTCCAACCAAAGAGATACCACCGCAAATACAGACACTGCCTCCTGCGTAAGCATCTCTTTGACGAATGTTTGATGGATGATAACGGGTTCCCTGTCCTCTCCAAATCAAATAAGGCCTACTATCGCTTTGGTGGCTAAAACTACACTCATCCATAATGAGAACAACCCTTCACTAGTCAGCCGTCCAGTTGATGTGTGAACCTCAAACGTTCCCTCCTATGGCGTGACTTGAGCACCATGTTAATAGCTGGTAGCCTCGCGTACAGACCTCCTTCATGAAGCCTTCTATGCACAGGCGACGCTGACACCAACCTTCTGGTGGCTGGAGCAAGGGACGATCTGAGCTGAGCCAGAGATACGGTTCCTATTCCTTTTTGCTCATAATGCCAAATAGCAGCCATCGGCGAGGGTCATAGTGGTTGGCCATCCTTGGCTGAACCTCTTGGGTGCCAAATCTGTGGTTAGAAATTGTTGCCAACGTCTATGAATTACAAAAGGATTCACATTTATTCATCTGAGTACATCTGTCTGACTCTGTGCTGCCTGTACTCTTCCAACAGTTCTCCATCGCAGTTTTTCAGGCAAATGATGCCTGGAGGTCATTGTTACGAATTCCCTATCGCAGATTTCTTATCTCAGTATCAAAGAGAAATTTACAGGCTTTCTTTCAAACATGCAATTTTATGCTCCTCGCGAATGAAGCATTCCAATTGCATCGCCATTAATTTAAATACTGCAGTTTTACTCAACAATTCTTATTTAACAACATATTCAAATTTTATAGAGATTAGCTTATTTTTGGATGAATTATCGCCATTTTGATATTTTTTTTAATTGTTGGAAACCAGTGTATGATAGCGGTATCTATATGTGGAGGCACGGAGGAGAACGAATGTTAAGAGCTTCCATTCTTCTTCGCCACATCGATCGAGCACTTCGACTGAAGATATAAAGTGCTACTGAGTACACTTTCCACTAGCCATTCTCACTTCATTTGAGGTTTTAAAACCTGGGCTGCGCTGTTTCTTCGGAGCCTCTGTTGTCCCATCTTTCATCAAATTAATGGATTAGCTGGTCCTAACCTTCAAATAGAGGTATCATTGGAATGCGATTGGAAACAGGCGATTGGAAACACATGCTGTCCTATTAACAGGCGATTGGAAAATCACATGCTGTCCTATTGCATCCTCAACACATACAGAACTAAAGTCCCTGTGGCTTTAGTTCTGTGTGTTGTCTATTTCTGCCTTAGCCTGCACGCTTTCCAGAATTCTCTTTAGCTGAAAACATCTGCTCAATGGTTGCAAAGGGATCAGCATGACAATACAATACTTGCTAGCTAGTGCGATAGGTGAACTCTTGCACAGAACTAAAGCCACAGGAATCTCATTATCAAAAAATGTCATCCAAAATAGCAATTTTATTGGCCAGTACTGTAAAACACAAAGATGAAATAAACCCGGATGTAAAACATACTTAAAATTAACTTTTTTAATAAAAATATCAGAGTTTTGCCAATGAATGTTAAAGGATAGTATAAATGTAAACAATTTTACAAAAATGCTAAAAACCTTAAAATCATAGAAAAAAAAAAAAAAAAAAAAAAAAAAAAAAAAAAAAAACCCACTAACTATTAAATCATAAAACGAGCCTGCGACAAGAAAATGCAGTAAAATTCAAAAAGCGTAATTAAATAATTTATTTGAAATAAAAATCAAAAACCTATGTTAATGAAACTTACAACCAAAGTGAAATGAGCAGAGCATCAAACAGCATTTATATTCCATAGCGGTGAAACATAATAGGAATGATAAAAACGTAAACAACATCAGGCATGGTTAAAATCACAAAAATCTAAATAATTAATAAGAATAAAGAACAACATACGTCTCTAATAATAATAATAATAAAATATTTTAATTTATAAAAATACATACTGCAATACTTTATAAAAAATTAATTAAATAAGCTTTAAATTAAAACCAAACAAAAAAAAATATTTGAAAAAATGAAGATAACTACATCAAATAATGTCAGGCACATTAAAAACTTAGTTTAAACATTAATTAGAGTAAAAATGTTACCTTCACAAGTGAAAGTTTCTTTCGAAAGCCGTATAACTCAGAAGGCTCATTATAGTTTCTTTTCGTCATTTCAATAGAATCTCCAAGCATAGGCTCCATTTCGGAACTGCACTGACACTTAACAGGTACTGGATGAATAATTAAAATCCAAAAACTGAAAAATTATCAACAAAATACTTTATTGAGCAAATAAATATATTACACAAATTAGCGATCACATAAATAAGATAATCAGAATTGACAAAGCAAATATTAACTAATAAAACTGCATTTTTGCAACAAATGTTCCAACCATTTGTTCCCATATAAATGTAATACTACCCTACTTAAGTGTGTATAGAAGAATAAATGATGAAATTAATAAGAGTAAAAAAGTACTTTCGGAAATCTCTTGACAGGGAGTGACTTTTAGCTAAGCCAAGTGATGAAGGGTGAACCCTCCGAGGGTTTTATGTTCTATGGGGGTCTCAGAATACATTATTATTAATAATAAATTTAAAGATAATAATAATAATAATAATAATACAAATTTTATTTTAAGTCGAAAAGATTTTATTGTTTTCTTTTTTAACTACTAATTTCTTTCTTCTTTCCTTATAACAACATAACGTACATAATACAGTCAAAAGTCTTTAATCCGGACTCGTCGGGACTTCGGCGATTCCGGATTATCGATTTTTCCGGATTATAGATCATTAGTTTAAATATGGTAAGATGGCATGCAGAAATTATAAAATTAAAAATATGAAACCGTAATTGATAAAATAATGAGCAATTATGATCTAAAGAGTATCAAATTTACCAAAAAAGAAGCTTAATATTTATTTGTTTACTTTTATTCAGGGTTGCCACTCAAACAGGAGAATGAAATTCCCTGACTTTTCCAGGTTTCCAGGTGTGTTTCAAGAAAATTCCAATCTATCCGCGTAATGTACGTTGGGTGTGCTAAGAGGTAAATTAATTATGGTATTACTTGTATTGTGTAGCAAATTCACTTAATTATTCAATAAATCCCAGAGGACATTTATTCTTACTTATTCTTGGTATACTTTATTTGATAATTTTGTTTAGTTTTCCACTTAAGAAACTTAATAAAATTTAAGATATATATATTGGATAACAAATGTATGTTTTATTTAATTATTACTCATGATCATCACCAGTTCAACACGAGGCTAATCCGGTCCTTATAAATCACAATGCAATGCTAAATAGTTAGGTTAGATTTTAGGTAAATTTAATTTGCGTGAGGTATGTTCTTAAAAGGCACCTTAACACATGAAAACACAAATATAATTATAATAGTTATTTTCTCCACTGAAGATTGAGATTAGAATCCTCCCAATCTGGAATAAAGTAAGGCTTTTTTTTGCAGACATTCTGCAGCTAAACGAAAGAAAGAAATCTATTTTAATAAACTGAGGTATTTTATATTTATTTCGCAGCATACATAAGGAAAAAATATGTCCATTAAATTTCGTGATGGTATGTCATCATACTGCTATAATTAATTTCAGGATTATGCCAGAGAAAATTTCCTGAAATTTGGAAATATTATTTACTAATAATAAATAAATTTAGAGGGAAGAAGCAACATTAAATTATATGAATAACATAAAAATAATTACTTAAAAATTGAATTAGAATAATCAACGATATTTTAGCGAATATAGTTATATTACATGGCTAGCCTAGATGACTGATTACTATTTTTTTATTTTACTGCAAAATGGCAAGGTATTTATAAATAAAAAAAAAAAAAAAAAAAGGTTTAAAAAGATTTTGCGGTAAAATTCTAGTATACGGTAAGGCTTTGGCACGATTTTGAAAATTGTCGCCCAAGGACCAAAATGACCCGTTTACTGCGCATCAAGATGTCGCCAAATCCCATTATTATTCTAACCAAAGAACGTCTATGTAAAGAAGAAAAGGTTCCATACAAGTAAATGCTATTACGCCGCTAGAATGCCGGAGGGAAAATTTGCCAGGGATTTGGCGACGGAACCTGGCGGCCAGAATTTCCCTCTCCGCGATGTGTACAGGAAATTGAGAAACGCGTGTTAAGAAGAAACGCTCTTTGACAAAAAGAAAACTACGAAAATCCGTTTTTAAATTATTGCGAAAAATCCTATCAGGTTCAATGTTCCTTCTAACCTTCTTCGGGAACATACAAGGACCTGACTCGGAACAGAGAGCTTACTAAAACTATGTTCACTAATTGTGGTAAGTAACAGGATACAGACGAAGGGTATACAAAACCCTTTTTTTTCTCTATACAATAACTTCCGTACTTCGGAATACACTGACCCTCCACTCGGGGTCTAACGTAAAAAAGTATAAAAATAAAACTAAACTCTAATTTAACTTTAGAATAATACACGTGGAAGATTGGCCTTATAATAACAGGAAGCGTATGTGCACAGAGACTGTGAACACTACAATACGTTTAATTTATCAAGAGGATTAAAAACCTCTGGCCTGGAAGGCGAACAGCAACTGCGTAACTTCTAAGGTAAGCGGCCTGCGTTGACTTACTGCTTCCTCTCTTCCTTGCTTGGCAAAAAGCCACAACTTAAGTACTTGGCGTTGCCAGACACTTTGCATAAAACCTTCACGCTTATAATTCTGGCCGGAAGTAGAAAATAAGAAGTGATAGTAAAGATTTAAAATAAAATAAACGTTAGTAAAACTTAAGATCCTTACAATCCAAGAAGAAACGTCGCAAGTGGTTAAAGAAATTTTAAACGATATTCATTTTATGAACTCTTGATAACGTGACCTTCGAACTTCGACACCGGTTTCGAGCTTTGGCAACAGATATATCAGACATGCACAGCTGTTTTCCCTCTATGATGGAACGGAGCCACAGCCACGTCTGTTGCAGAGAGGTTTTCCTTCTTTACAATACATATTCTTTGATTCTAACCTCCATGGTACCGTATACTAGGATTAAACCCATTTTGTTTTATACGAGAACAGGTACTTTCTTTAGTTCATGCACTGCACATGCGATTCTCGAGAATATTGGAAACCAAAAGTTGCGGGAAAGTTGCTTTGCCTTTCTAAAAGACAATCAAATTGGAGCTGCGAAAATTGGCTCTATGCCAGCTACCCGAATGACACTCACGTGATACATAATTCGCCAAAAAAGTTACCTCTTCCGACGTCGGCGCAAAAAATCGCTTTTTTTGGCGGGATCGTTGTATGAACTTCCCTGACTTTTCCAGATTTTGACAAAAATACTTAAATTCCCTGACTTTTCCCTGAATATTTTGGTCAATTTTCGAATTCCCTGACTTTTCCCGGTTCTCCCGGTTTTCCAGGTAGCGTGGCAACCCTGTTTATTTAACATTTCTTTCAACGCGCGCATGCGTAAAGCATACATTACGCATAGCCGAAATTAGAAAAATTGCAACCAGAAAACTATTTGATTTGTATTCGTGATATTTATAATAACGATAAATTTGATTTAAATCATATCAAAGACGGAGTACATCGAGATGAAATACTACATTTAGTAAGGAATTATAAGCCGAATAAAATAAAAACATCTGCCGTGAAGATAACGATAGTGCTGACAGATCAACTTCCAGTTCATTGCGCGCCCCCCCCGCGCAGAGCAGCGTGAAATTGATAAACAAATTTCAGAACGGTTAGATAAACAAAGGATATGCCTTTATCCATTTTTTGTAGCAATTCCACTTTTTGTTTGATGGACATCGAAACATACTTTCGTTTGGTAGATCCTTTGGGAGCTCCAGCATCGGAAATTCTATTTGACATAATCGAAAGTTCAAGCTTACTTTTATAAAATTGCTCTTACAGTCTGCAAAAAATAATAAGCCGGATCCAATTCGAAGATTAAGGAACAACGCAATCATCAACATTAACTGAAATAGATAATTAGATAATTTTAGCTTATAGCGTCCGTTATACATTAAACGCGCACTCAATAATGTATTCTGCGCTTGCGCAGACACATATGCGCATAGGCGTCAACGCGGCGCATGCGCAGAAAGATTTTAGCTTTGAGGTTCGGATTATAGATCATTCCGGATTATGGGTGTCCGAATTAACGACTTTTTACTGTATTCACTTCCTTAATCTTTGCGGATGCTGAGAATGCGCGATTCTCATGATGTTTTTCTCCATTTTCATAACAGATGAAGCGCTGATCTAGCGTAATACTTACAGCATATTTCGTCGTTACCTTGTTGCCTTCGTTTTCTACTCACATATGTATAATTTATGCAATCATACTGTCTGTTACTAAAATATAATTAAATGACAGATTATTTTATAATGCAAATATATGCAACAATTGTACGTAAAAAACTGGGCCCTTTCTTTCCTTCTTTTTCAAAAAAAAAAAAAAAAAAAGTTTCACATGAATTTTCGTGTACGAGAAAAAGATAATAAGCACTTAATAACATTTTACGATGAATAAAACTTCTGCATTATACGTTGGATTTTTTTTTCCTTCTAAATTTAAATAACAACGACCAATAAAAAATTATTTTGTACAGCTTCATTTTTAAAAAAGTTTATTCGCTGTAAAATTTTAGGATGTATTTAAAATATTAGGTTTCAGTAAAACGCTTAGTATTTTGTATAATACTCTAGTACAGAAACTGTAGTACCGATACACGACAAAACATAATTCAGTTACATAAAATATTTTATGCATAATGAGCGGACATCATTTAATTTTTCTTGTTTTGCCTGAAAATCTTCTGGTCACTATTTCTTAACCAACATTAAAAATGTCCTTCGTCAGTCGCCCTTTTGAATTTCTCTCATAAGAGTTAACATTTTGATATTTTTCACACAAAAAAGGACACTTAAAATTTTCCTACAATAAGCGGCTTAGCATTTTCTATTGTGCATATATTAGTTCTTTTTTCCTTATCGTCCCTACATTCTATTTTAAAAGAAAATATTTTATTCAGAAAATAAACGATAAATCATAAATCAATCTTGTTTAATCATAGTAAGCGCAACCCTTAGTCGACGCCTGAGGCTATAAGTGGACGTAGCCGCCGCCATTCTGAAATCAAATAACCAGAAGTGACTTAGATATATTTGTATAACGTCATGCATAATAGTTCTATTTTATGGCAACGAAAATATTTTTTCAAAGTTTTATTTATGTGT